GGAGGGGTCCTCTAGTGATCCCTGGTTGCCAAATAAGCCCTAACATGTAGTACATACACTTCATTCTCTCTCTTTTGTGCACAACACATAAATGATCATATCTTGCACCACAAATTCATGTTGCTAAGATTCATCATGTATTGCATTCCATCATCCAATGAAGCAAACTCAAAGCAAAGTAAAATGTTGAAAGATCAAGTGAATTGAGCTATTGCACTTGCATGTTTAGACATGATCCCTGTCTAACTTTAAACAAGAAATCAACAATCGTCTGAACATTCCACAATATAGTTCCAAACAACATATGTTAGGCATCATGCATCTAGTAACAACGCATTTTCTAATTGATTTCTTATAGGGAATGTGACCAGGTGGGAATGGCCCACACGTTGGCATTACGATGGAACTCTTCTTCAACACAACACCCTGGTGCAAATTTCTCCACATGCCATGGAGTCCTCATCGCGTTCTCTGCCATTGCAAAAATAAAGACAAAATGATTAGGAAATATGCCAATGGACCTCTCAGCGAAGCATCTGATGGGTGCATGCAATCAGTGAACTAACTGTATTTTCTTTGAGGAAATCTGTGAACTAGTTGATAAAAATAACACTCGAGAGAAAGAGAAGCCACCACTCAAACACATTAAACAATAAGCTGCGAGGGGAGTGGCTTCGGGAGCCAATTTTACATCGACCACGAAACATATACTACACGTCTCTCCTGGGCTTGATCTGACATCATGCGCAAGGAAGTGGCTTCTGGATGTGATCTGACATCGATCATGGTGAAAGTTTCTCATGCTCTTTTGAGGGCGGATCTGACATCATGCCCTAGGAGAGCGGCTTCAGGGTGATCTGACATCAATCCCGACAAAGGATTCTCACGCTCTTCCAGAGCCTGATTTGACATCAAGTTCGAGGCGAGGGGCTTCAAGATCCGATCTGACATCGATCTTGGTTAAGGATTCTCACACTCCATTGGGGCCTGATCTAACATCGGGCCCGAGGGTGAGCGGCTCGTGCTACTCCTGGGTCTGGCGAGAGACTGGACTTGTAAGTGCATCTAGTGCCCCAGTGACGCCCTCGATTCAATCGTACACTAATCATACACGCAAATGTGTACGATCAAGACCAAGGACTCACGAGAAAATATCACAACACAATTCTAGACACATATAAAATAATACAAGCTTTATATTACAAGTCAGGGGTCTCGAGGGCTCGAATACATAAGCTCGATCACAGGCGACTCACCAGAAGCAACAATATCTGAGTACAGACATAAAGTTAAACAAGTTGCCATAAGATGGCTAGCACAAATAGGGATACAGACCGAAGAGGTGCATGCCTCCTGCCTGGGATCCTCCTAAACTACTCTTGGTCGTCAGCAGTCTACACGTAGTAGTAGGCACCCTCAGGGGTAGTAATAGTCGTCGTCGGAGGCATATGGCTTCTAGGCTTCACCATCTGGTTGCAACATCCGAGAAGAATGTAAAAGGGGGAAAAGAGGGAGCAAAGCAACCATGAGTACTCATCCAAAGTACTCGCAAGTAAGGATTTACACCACATATGCATCGGTATCAATGAAATGGGTAGTATTTGTGGATTGAACTACAAAATGCTAGAATGAGAGGGGGAAAAGCTAGTCCTATCGAAGACTACGCTTCTGGCAGCCTCCATCTTGAAGCATATAGAAGAGAGTAGCTGGTAAGTTAACCAAGTAACATCGTATAGCATAAACCTACCCGACGATCCTCTCCTTGTCACCCTGTGAGAGAGCGATCACCGGGTTGTCTCTAGAACTTATCTGGGTGTGTTTTATTAGGTATCCGGTTCTAGTTGACATGAGGTCGGAATACAACTCCAGGTCGTCCTGTTACCGTGGACACGGCTATTCGAATAGATCAATCTTCCCTACAGGGGTGCACCATATTACCCGACACGCTCGTTCCCTCTGGCCGGGCACACTTTCCTGGGTCATGCCCGGCCTCGGGAGATCAACATGTTGCAGCCCTGCCTGTCTAATCTTGTAACTAGTAAGACAAAGGGCTTGACAACCCTCTTGCCGTGTTGGGGACAAGCTTGTTTTGTGTTTGGTGTGCAGGCGCCGCTCACTTTGTTTGCTGGAAGAGCTCCTATTGAATTGATAACATTGGTTCTCTAACCAAGGAAAATACTTACTGCTAGGTTACATCACCCTTACACCTGGGGGATCCCAGCCACTCTTACGAGAGAGCAGGGGGTCCTAGGGTACATGATCCTAGTTCGCTACGTACGAGGAGGTAGATTCCTCCACGAACCCAACGTCTTGTCGTGTATGTCAAATCTTGTGGAACCTTCTTTGTATATGTCATGGGCTGCCCAATGCGTCTCAAGATGGCACCGACAAAGGGTTCTCAGCCCAGTCCACCAGCACACGGGACGTGGCAAGAGACCCCTTAGTAGGGACACTCAGCCAGGCCATATACGATTACCACCTCACAGGTGAGGCTCAATCATCGGTTGGTCAATGACATGCTCAGGAAGAACTCCTTGCGATCCATGTCATCAACCTTAAGAGTGTCCTCTTTGACATCCAGCAGAATGTCCCATGAGTGACCAGTGGTAGGTAACCATTGCCACACAAACGAGTGGCGGGTCAGGCCCTGAAGGTCATGGATGGAGAAACCTTGTGTGCTCCTCGGTGTCGCCGGATACCCCGCCCATTGGTTTCACCAGAGGAAACCACGTGTCGGTCCATGCCCCTCTGGATTACTTTTATTTCTGCTGATGGTATGAGTTTGCATGATTCCAGGATGTCAGATCGCTGCACACGTGGTGCCTATTGTCAATAGTCATAGAATTAGCTGGTCATGCCTTGTGGATGTTCTCTGTTATTTATGCACATAAGTTGTTGGTTGTTTCTCCAAACCAGTTTCAATTACAAACCCCTGAGTTAAACTATAATAAAACCCACATGCATGTACTCTGGTATTTACTTTGTTTCCGCGTGATTCAAAAAATCTTTGAATAGTGCACATCGATAGGGTTTCGTCTATAATTGTTCGCTAATTGATCTACTCATTTACAGATGGAGTACATCACATGGACTCTGAAATTACGTGAGTAGCCCGTCAGATTAATTCATTCTTGGTGTGACTATTTGGACAAGATGTTCGATGCCAGTCTCACGAATAATCCATTTAGATCTTTGTATAATCTAAAAATTAAGCATGTGTACTTTGTTTTACTTTCTTAAATTACAATATTGCATTATCACCCGCAGCAATGCATGGGCATTTCGCTTCGCAGCCGGGGCCAGATTCCAAAACAACGCATGGGTAGTTCGCTTCGCAACCGGTGCCAGATTCCAAAATAAGTTTTCAAGGGGTCAGTGAGCAGATTAAGTTTCGTGAAGGGGGATTTAGTACAAATAATACGTTTCCAGGAATCCCGTCGGTGGACACTGGCAGGTACGACGCTGAGAGACAAGCTCGAAATTTTGGCGCATCTACCTTGCTATAATCCTCAGGGGCAACTGGAAATTTTGTTCAAATCAGTCAATTTTGGAGGAAGAGAGCAAAATCAACCAAAAGAAACTCCATATGAAAATGAAATGAAACCAGCCAGGCAAATGGGGTTTGATCGGGAACTGAAGCAGGAGCGCCCTCAACACTTACTGTCAAATTGGTTTAGCACCGCCAATCTTCAGCTTCGGGTCAAGTTGGTTTACAGTTTCACCTCTGCTGTCGGTGTAATTATCGCTAAGACCCTAACTGAACCCGGAACAGGCTCAAGCATACCCGCTGAATGCAATGGATTAACAAGGTAACTATAACTGATAACATTTGAAAGCAAAACCTTGAGGACCCGCCAAAGTGCGACTACAAAATCAGCAAAAATGAAGTTTTACCAGAGAAATGATGTGTCTGCCAGTACAACTAGGGGAACCTCATATGTCTGTCTGAAGATTTGTAAAGATCAAAACATTCCTATTCAAAGAATTATATAAGTTGCAAGGCACAAATTATCAAAGGAATGCACAGAACAAATGAGCAGCGAGAAACTACGGCCCGTTGGAAGTTAAGGTGATAAGAACACGCAGTTCGACAGTTCACCAGCCACCCAGATAACCGAATCATCTACTCTACCCACAACCTAGCAGTTGGCAACTAATGCTATTCGTAGTGAACCAAGAGAGTATCATGTGAAAAATATTACGAGAAGAGTCATTGTTTCTCCAACTTAACTTCTAAAAACACAGACTAACTAAAGGGGATTCATAACAAACCTAGGATGATCGCACATAATCATCAAGACTAAGAAATCATTCAACAATGAATATGATTGATTCTTACCTAGAAATAATTTCTGAAAACAACTTACAGGCAGAAGGTGTGCACAAACCAATAAAATGGATGACCATGTTATTTCTGAATATGAGGTCCCGGCTGTTAACAATCCTTCAATGATATGATCTTACTGAATTCCAATAGGATGAGACCAAAGCAGGATCGCCTCCAAACATAGCAGCAGAAGTTTTGATTAAAATGACAACCAAACAACTGATCTGCAAACGGAGAATTATGCAACAAAAACAGATCCTTGAGAGTTCAGAGGAGCATCTGCACTGAGAAGAGTACAATAAAACGAAAACAGAAGTGATTCAAAAACCAGCACTCAAACCTTACAAACATGTTTGATTTTTTAATACAAGCATGTTTTGCAGATCATACATTTTGCATCAATATAGTTGCATCCATGATGAGCGGTAATGCCTTTGATAAATCCTTTTTGCATTCATACATTTTGCAGTTTCAACAGAGGTAACTTACTGAGACATGAACACAGGAAATAACTTCTAACCAGAGATCGAGCAGCCATAAATTTGAGTTTGGACAAAAGATAATACAATTTTCGAGCATATATCCCTTCTAAAGAAGGGGCAAAGACTACACAATATTCGGGCATTAACCCTGTCTATGACACAAGGATTTGAAAAGATCGGCCATTGACGAATCATGGACATGATTCACCTGAAAGAACATTGCATTTAATTCTACAACACGAGCAGTGGAAGGGATCATCCAATAAATCATGAATCTGTTTGGTTTTACCCAAACAGCTAAACTCACTTCTGAATTACCGAAAAAGGCTCACGCCCCGCTTTATAGATAAAGCCAATGCCAAAGCCAACATCCACAAGGTTCACACCACCAAGGTTCACACACACACACACAGTCCAGGAACAAACAAGCAACAAGGGTTAGTGCTGAGGGCACAGCTCAACAAGCCCAACACACACACAAAAAGCGGCACACACGCCGGGAGAGAGACGCCTCTAGTCGGGCTCCGGGGGAGGCGGCGGGAGCGGCGGAGCCAGGCGGAAGGCCAACGAACGAAGGTCGGAGAGGAGTCTGTCGATGGCATCCCGGTCCGGAGGGCGGCTAAGCGGCCGCCAGAGCTGCAAGTAACCACACATTTTGAAGATGGAGTCAGTCGCACGTCGAAGAGGCACCTTCTGAATGACAAGCTTATTGCGAACCGTCCACAACGTCCAAGCCAGCACCCCAACGCACAGCCATCTAATATGTCTGTAGCGTGGAGGGGAGGCCTGGATTTCCGCAAGCAAGTCGGGGAAGTTGTTATTACACCACTGTCCCCCAACCGTTTCGCGAAAACACGCCCATAGGAACTGTGCCGTGCAACAGGAGAAGAAGATGTGATTGGCATCCTCCGCCGTGTCACATAGGGGGCACACCCCATCCCCAGGCCCATGGCGCTTGAGGACCTCCACGCCGGACGGTAGGCGGCCGCGGATCCATTGCCACAAGAAGATCCGGATCTTAAGTGGGAGGCGGATGTCCCAGATAAGGCCGAATGGCTCCGGGGCAACTGATGGGGCAATAGCCGCGTAAAGGGACTTGGTGGAGAAGCGGCCTGAGGAATCCAGACGCCAGGAGATGGCATCCGGAGAGTCAGCCACGTCCATAGGCAACAGGGCGATGTCCTGGAGGAGGACATCCCAAGCAGCCACCTCGGCAGGGCCAAAAGGACGACGAAACGCGAGGCGCCCTAAGTCAATAAGGGCCGCCTCGACCGAGACCCGAGGGTCAACTACAATGTCGAAGAGGATGGGGAACCGGGCGGCCAGGGGGGAGTCCCCTAGCCACCTATCAAGCCAAAACAAGGTCGAGGCGCCAGAGCCCACCGAGATGGAGGTGCCTATCCTCAGGACTGGAAGCAGCTGGACGACTGCCTGCCAAAACTGGGAACCGCCCGAGCGCTGGCAGAACGCCAGAGGCTGGCCACGCAGGTACTTGTTCCGAATGATAGTCAACCAAAGGCCTCCCTCCCCATTGGCAATGCGCCATAGCCAGCGGGTGAGGAGGGCGATGTTCATGCGCCGAGAGGACAAAATCCCAAGGCCACCCTGGTCTTTGGGTTTGCAGATGTCTGGCCAGCTGACCATGTGATATTTCTGTCTGCCTGCCTCGCCAGCCCAGAAAAATCTGGCTTGGTACTTGGCGATCTCCTGATGAAGGGTTTCATGAAGGCTGTAAAAGCTCATGAGGAACCACAGAAGGCTGGCAAGCGACGAGTTGATAAGGATCACACGTGCCGCCTTCGACAGCCAACGCCCTTTCCAGGGCTCAACTCGGTGCTGCATACGGGTCACCGTGGGGCGGAGGTCCGCCACGGTGAGGCGCGAGTCGCTAATGGGGATCCCCAGATAGGTCATGGGAAAAGATCCCAGCCGGCAGTTAAGCCGATCGGCAATGGACTGAGCGTCCTCATCGGGGTAGCCGATCACCATCACTTCGCTCTTGTCAAAGTTGATGGTCAGGCCCGACATTTGCTGGAAGCACAGAAGGAGGAACTTCAGGTTGGAAATCTCGAGGGCGGATCCCTCCGTCATAATAATGGTGTCATCCGCGTATTGGAGAAGGGTCACCCCTCCCCCTCCAACAAGGTGCGGGACCAAGCCTCGAATATGCCCCGCAGCCGTGGCCTTAACTAGGATGGCGGCCAGGGCATCGACAACCATGTTAAACAAGAACGGCGAGAAGGGGTCCCCCTGCCGAACCCCACAAAGGGTAGGGAAGAAGGGTCCAATCTCGCCGTTGATGTTCACCGCAGTCCGGCCGCAGGAGACGAGCTGCATGACGCGGGTCACCCACCGATCGTCAAAGCCCTTGCGAAGCAGGACTTCCCTCAGGAACGGCCAGTGGACCGTGTCATAGGCTTTGTGGAAGTCCAGCTTAAGGAAGACCGCCCTGTGGCGCTTCAGACGAACCTCGTGGAGCACTTCGTGGAACACCAACACCCCATCCAGGATAAATCGACCTTGAATGAAGGCGGATTGGTTCGGGTGGGTAATAGTGTCCGCAAGGAGGGTCACCCTATTGGCGTACCCCTTCGCCAGAATCCTAAAGATCACATTAATAACTGTGATGGGGCGGAACTGGCGGATATCGGCGGCACCCGGGACCTTGGGGATGAGGGTCACCACACCATAGTTAAGGCGCCCCAAATCCATGGTACCAGAGTAGAATTCCTCAAAGAGATCCATGACCTCATGCTTGATGGCAGGCCAGAACGTCTTGAAGAAAGCTACAGGTAAACCATCAGGTCCCGGGGCTGAGGAGGGGTTCATCCCCCTAATGGCAGCGAGGACCTCGTCCTCACTGAAAGGAGCAACCAAGGCCGCATTGGCTGTAGCCGAGACTCCAAGCGCCCCCGACCAAATGTCGGGGGCAAGGCTAGCCCCACCACGCGGGGTGGGGCTAAATAAGGCCCTATAGAAGCCATCCACATGGAGGCGGATGGCCGCGGGCTGCACTAACTGCGCATCTCCATCCCACAGGCAGTGGATGGAGTTGCGACGGCGCCGGCCGTTCGCAACCGCCTGGAAGTAGGCGGTGTTTGCGTCGCCCTGAAGCACCCATCTCTGGGTGCCCCGTAGGCGCCAGTAGGCCTCCTCGTCCGTGTAGATGAGGGATAGCTGGTCCTCTAGGTCGTAGCGCAGCAGCCACTCATCCGAGGAGAGCCCGGTCGAGTCCGCGCGCGCATCCAAGGCTTGAATCGCCACAAGGATGGAATTCTTGCGCTCTCTCAGGTCCCGGCCAAGATTAGCCCCCCAACCCTTCATGAACTGGCGGGCTAACTTGGCACAAAAGTGCCAAGTATCGACCGCGGACATGGCGCGATGGGGTGCCGACCTGGCGAAGATCCAGCGGGCGACGACGGCCTCCCGGAAGCCCGCCTGGTTGAGCCAGAAGCTCTCGAACCGGAACCGCGGCGGGGAGGGAGGGCGCTCGTCAACCGTGGAGAGGAGAAGGGGGACATGGTCGGAACCAATCTGGGTGACCGCCCGGAGCGATGCCAGGGGCATCGCAATTCCCACTCCGGGGAAACTAGGACACGATCCAGCACGGATTGTGTCGGAATAGTTTGCCGGTTGGTCCAAGTAAATCTGGCACCAGTCCGGTCAAGCTCACGGAGCCCCAGCTCCGCGATCCAATCGTTGAAAAGCTGCATCCGGGGGAAATTAACCCGGGAATTATTCTTCTCGTCCGGCGAACGGATGAGGTTGAAGTCACCCCCCACCAAAACAGGATGTGGGGAGTTGGAGATCTTCAGCTGCAACTCGGCAAGGAAGGCCGGGGAGCGGCGGTGGTCAGCCGGACCATAGACTGCAATGACCTCCCATTTGAAGTTCAAAGCCCGCTCGAAGATCTCCATGCTAACGAAAAACTCCCCTCTATCCATGCCGCCCACCTCGAAAGTGGCATCCTTAACCCCAAGAAGGATGCCACCCGAGTGGCCTGAGGTCCCGCTAGAAGGGAGCCAGTGCCATGCGAAGAGGTGGGGGCTCAGATGTTCCAGCTCCTGTAGGGTGAACTCGACTCTAAGGGTTTCTTGGATGGCAATGATGTCAATATGTTCGTCCCGGATGTACTCGATGAGCTGGCGGCGACGGCCGTCATGGCCGAAGCCGCGGAGGTTCCAGAAAAGGGCCCTCATCTAAACCCCCATCGGGGGGCTGCTTGACCCCAAGACACGAGAGGCGCTTTGCGCGCGGAGGGCGGCCGTCCGAGACTGAGTGCGACCACGGATGATCCCGTCGGCCACCAGAGGGGTCGGAGCTGGAGGCTGAAGCAGGCGGGCACGAGACTCGGCCAGCCTGCCGTCGAGGATCTCCCGGGCCCTGATGGCCTCAATCTGATCTAAAGGGGGCCCAACCTCCCCCCTGAAGACAATGGCCGAGTCGTTGGCCACCTTAGCAAGGTGGCCAAGGGGAGCGGCCTCGAGAGCAGAAAAGGAGCAACGGGAAGAACTGGGAGGGACGGGATCCACACCTGACTCAAGGTTCCGCACCGCGGCGCGGAGCTCCGCCCGCTCGGCGACGGAAGGAGCAGGAGAGTCGCCCGGCCGTGACGCCTCCAGGCGGGCGCTGCGGCGGGAGGACGTCACCGGCGTGGAGGAGGACCGGGGTCTCCTGGTGTACGCCACCGTCGGAGGGGGGTGCGCGGAGGCCGGGGAGGCGACGTCCACCGTCAGCGAGGCGGCCGGGGAAGCCGGCGAGGCGGGGGTGAGGCAGGCCGGCCCCAACGCGGGGAGGGGGGCGGGTGACCCCAGGGACTCCCCCACCGCTGCTCCTGATGGTGGAGA